AAAACGACATCGTTTTGGGGCTGTATAATTTTTTTGCGGGGGGCATAGCTGCCCCCCTCTCCCTTCGTCCTTGCTGGTCAAGCAATTCGTCGTCAAAGCTTTTCTGGTCTGCCCATGTCGCTGCTACGCTCCTTCTTCGTCGACGTCGCCCTTCGACTTCACCACCGCTGCTATCTCCGGTGGTGGTTGCCGATGTTCACATCGTCGCTGCTAGTACTTCGTCTTCGCTAGTGGTCTAGCCCTTCATCGTCGTCGCCACTGCTCTCTGGGTTGGTGGTCGCAGCCGCCGTCGTCTCTCAATGCTTTAGGTTTGTGAAGAGTACAGTCGAAGAGAACTAGGTTTTATATACGGAGTATATATTTATTTATTACAAATGTAGTTTAGCAACTATTGTTTTTATATAACACATGCTAGTTGTTGTTTAAAATTTACAAAAACGCCACCGTGCAAATTTTAGAGTCGTGTTTCCAACCAACAGACGCCAATAGTCTAATTTTTATTGTCCATTCTCTACTAGTGAGCCAGGTCATTTGTTTGCTGCATGCGGGCAAAGCTGGTGATTTGATGCTGTAGTTCTAGCTTTGTATTTCTAGAAAAGAAAATGAAGGGTTTCTGCTCATTAACACACTACTCTGAGCTTGTGCAAAACCGGTGAAGGCACTCCTTGATTACCATGATATATTTGGCCCACAGTAGCCTCACTAAACAATACCAAGTCATCCGCAAAAAATAGGTGTGTTAGAACAGGACCATTTCTGGTTATTTTGATACCATTCCACTTGTTCTTCGCATATTGCTCTATAAGGTGGCTTAAGCGCTCAACACACAAAACAAATAGTAGAGGCGAAATTGGATCGCCTGCCTAATCCCTCGGCTAGGATTAAACCAGTCTGAAATTTCCCCTTCCCACGAGACAGCTAGTCTAGCAGTTTGTACAGAAGCTGCTACTTCCGCGTCCAATCCCGGTTGAAGCCAATGTCCACCAATGTATCTTGGATGAAGTCCCGAGATCGTATCGTAGGCTTTTTCCAAATCGACTTTGAGCATCATCCACCCTGTGTTGCCTTGTTTGGTTTTCATTGAGTTGAGCATCTCTTGGTACTTTGGTTTTCATTGCCTTGAAATGGCTTACCAAGAACTGCAGCCCTATTCATCAGATCTTAAACTTTACTATGGAAGTTCGAGATATTGTCATCTTCCTCCATTCTTAGAGCCTCAAATTCTGACAGTACGATCTGGAACTTGGATTGTTTTACATCCCTTGTATCTTCATATCTGGTTTCTAGGATCTCCCAAGCCTTTTTTTTCCTCTTTTACTCCTGTAACCTGAGTGAATACTGATTTGTGTAGGGATCTCACGATTGAGTTCAGGGCTTTGTTGTTGAGATCTGATGTAGTTATTTCAGTCTCAGTCAAGGTACCCATGGGTTTAGCGGACGTGGTTCCATCATCATTCTGAACAGTAGGAGGTGTCCATCCAGTGAGAATGGTGCGATACACCCTTGTCCCTTGTGCCTGGAGGTAAATCTCCATGCGAGCCTTCTAGAACGAGTAATTATGACCATCCAACTTAGGGGGTTTCGTATTCGCTTCCATCCTGATACACTCAGACGACCAGCCAAAACACAGACAAATAGAGAGAAAACACAAACTCTATTACCAAAACACAACAAAAAGCTTTCCCGTTTGGATCAACTCATTATGTAGACTTAAAAGCTCTGATACCACTTGTAATTTTGTGTGATTCGGTAATCTACAAATTTAACCTATCTTTATCAAACAGTTGGTACGCAAACTAAACACCGACACTATAACAGATAATAAAGCAAATAAACCAACAGAAATATAAAGTGCGGAAAAAGGTAAACACAGAAAGCAAAGCAACACAAGATTTGTTTACCCAGTTCGATACAATGTGTATCTACATCTGGGGGACGATCACCAATGCGTCCAATCCACTAACTCAACTCCAAAGTACAAAGGTGGAGAAGTACAATCTCACCCGAGTGATCTACACAAGGTAAGTACCCAATATACAAGGATTTAGTGGATTGCTGAAGATGGAGATCCACGCATTCAGAGGTCCATGGAATCCCTTCAATGGAGATCTTTCTCTGATGCAGTCTGCTTCACTAACGCAGTCCTTCACTGTATCCCACAGTCGCGTGATCTTAGCGTCCACTGGTTTAAGCACAGTTCTTTCTTCTCAAGTTCAACATCTTAAATCAATATGAACTTCCAGTCTTGAGAAGAAGATGTAACCAGAGAAAGAGAGTTAGAATGTGAGTTCTTTCTTGAATTCAAGATGATGCAGAATGAGATGATTAGCCATCTTTGAATCAGCACTTTGAACATATATCTCTGGTTGATGGAGGTATCCGTAATCAGAATCATCAGCCAGCTTCTTAGTCAGATTACGTAGATACCCTTTGAGGTGTCCAAATGAATGAGGACTTTCTTGTAAAAACACATCAAGCCTTAACGGCCTTCTGCCAGTGCATACGCTCCTCAGTCAAACAGTCTTCTAACGGCTTCAAGTCTTCATAGATTCTTCTGATAGATTCCCTGATCAATCAGGTCTTCATTCTTCGAACTTCAGACTGACTCTGACTTGGCCTAATCTAGTTTGCCATAATAATAAAGCCAATTACATATTTGGGGTTTGACTAGCTAATCCAAACACTAACAGGGGTAGTTCTCACTCCCTGTTTTATCCTACCTCCATCCTACATCCCATACACGACCCTTCAAACATCAAATCTTTTGATAGCGCTACACAAATGGAGAACCGTAAGTGAAAAAGCGTGACATCACATAACTTCATCAAACAACAATGACATGAGCATAGAGAGAAGTGCCTGATCCTGACGAATCCATGGATGATAGGCAGGATTCGGCAGAGGTGGCGCTCCTTCTTCGCCGGACGAGATCGTGGCCGACGGACAGGGATTGGTTCCGTCGATGAATCCCATTAGGTCATGTCCGTTGAGAAAAGGAACAACTTGAGCCCTCCAAAATAAGAAGTTCCGATGAGTCAATTTGACACTGATGAAGTGATGAGCCGTGGAGAGGGTGGTTACGGTTGAAATGACCGATGAGAGAGGGGCATCAGAAACAGTCCGTTCAGAGGAATTGACAGATCCGTTGGCCATTGGATATAAACCCTAGCTAGCTGATAGAATATGAGAACTATAATGAATTGTATTAACAGTGATGAATTACAAGAGTACAAGACCTAGGTATATATCAAGAAGAGACTTGGGGAGACTAGGATTGAGAATTATAAGTAGACTCAAATACATAGATAGAGTCCTAATTAAAAGGATCGCGGAAAGTTCTCCTATACTCCACTCTTATATTTTTGCTTTCCTTTTGCTTTTATTGTTAAGTTTTCCTTTTGTTTTTCTTCTTAAACCGCAATGAAGTTAATGGTTGCAAGTTACACTTATCAGCTTCTCAACGATATCCATTGCATACACACATTCAGAGTCCTCCACTACGACTTGAAGGCCGACAACGTTTTTGTCTTCCCCAGAAAGCCCAACGACGCGGCGGGAACCGCTCATGGTCATCTGATCTTCTTCTTCTTCTTCTGTATTGAATCCAGATACAATGATACTGTTTAGGTAAAATAGTTAGCCTATCAGTCAATTTTGGCTTATTTAACTATTAGATGTTTGACTTGGTTAAACAATCAATATAAGTGATTGATTAATTAGATTTTTGTAACAACTTATTCTCTAAAATGCTAAAATTCAAAAAGCTAGTCAAAATAGTTTTTTTCAATCAACTTTTTTAGAAAAAGTCATTTTGTATGTAATCAGCTAACAACTAACAACAAATTTACCAATTCAAACACTTTTCTACAATCAGCTAATGCTATCAACTAGTCAAACCGCTAATCCAATCAGCTAACAACTATTTACTAAATACTCTCAATATGAAGAATTATTATTTAAATATATAATTACACAATTGATATGATGGAACTAGTTCAACTATGTATTGGCCTGGTGTTTATAGTTCCACATGCATTTATAGAAAAAGCTAAGAAAGTATAAAGTAAATTACATTAAAAAAAAATTTCTTTTAATGGAAATCAATGCAGTGAAACGTATAGTACCCACAAACCTTCTGGACTAGTTAAACAAATCGAATTCCACCATGTTTTGGAGTGTGTCAATACATGTACATATATTATTGTAGAGCTCAAAGTAGTGTGTATATATATAGTAGATCGAGTTTATGATGAAATGCTATAAAGGAGGTTGTAAGATTTGGTAGAATGAACATATATGGAAGGAAAATTCTATATTGAATCTTGAGAAAATTATTCTCCTCTTTATATATACTCCAAGGTTGGACAATAATAATATTTAATACTTAGGTGATTCCAGTTTCATCAAACTAATCCTAATGAGCTCACAAGACTCCATACTTAGAGCCAGGTAAATTGATAGTTGTCTACAGGTCATGTCATAGTCTTCACGTCCGTACAAAGAATCTAATGCACACATTCCATCATCTTGCACATTTTTTACATCAATATTTCTCTGATAGGATTTGAACACTCATACTGTCGCCTCGTGACTTCAAGTCAGCCAACTAAATTACAAGTCAGCCAACTAAATTAACGAATAATTATTGCACTAACTCAACCAATTAACTATGCATGCATGGCTTGAGTTGACCTCAAGCTATATATGTCTCCTAATTCCAATGTGGCCAACTGGCCACGATATAGACTCCAAAGATAATAAAAAATAGACTCCAAAGATAAAACATATACAGGCTAAGTTTGTTATGGAACGCACAAATAAAACATAAAACTTTTGTTTGGTACACCAATTTAACAGCTAAAGATACGATGAAATTAAACATTAAACTGATAGATGAGAGTATCTGCTGCAAAAACATACAGCAAGCTCAGCTCTAATAATATCACCCAGATCAGAAACTGGAAACTTACAGTTCAAAACCAAACTAAATGCAAGATTTTTTCAACAAGAGAATAGTAAAGTCCAATTAAAGTATGAAACTCAAAAGCTACAAATAACATATATAGTTTTCCTGCAGCCTTGCATTTTGATGCCCAGCGAATCATCATCATCATCAGTAGTTCATTGGATTTGCCCCAAAGGAGTTGCTAGGAGATTCATATAAGGCTGACAGGAAACAGAAAACCAGTGAAATGATGAGCATGCATTCAACAATCAAGAGCAGACAGCTAGAGACAGCGAACCAAGATGGTTAAGGATACAGGAGTTTGAAATTTCAACCTTTCTGGTTTGAACCAGTTAGCTATGAAAAATCTAGATTGGTTTATCTTCTTGTGTTCCTTTGCTGCTAGGGTCACAAGACGAGATTTACCCAGTGCACAACCTCGTATAATAATTGTGGTTTCCCTCGTCACCCCAAACTTGTAACCGCCAGGTCAAGAGCTTGAATCCCAGCCTTCTTTATTGGCTAGGGTTACAAGGTGGGGTTAACTATGAGTTTCCCTCCTCACCCCCTGCCCCCCCCCCACACGCACAAAAAAAAAAAAGAAAAAAAAAAGAAGAAGACAGCTAGAGGTGCAGAAGAAGAATTATAGTGCAGGCAGGTGGGTAATATATATATATATATATATGATTTGCATTTATACCTTTCCAGGCCTGGAAGTTCTTGATGTTAATGGGTGTTCCACTGGCAGTTCTAATGGCCTCAAACAGCAAATCATTCTCAACAATGGCCTTCAGCTCCTGCACTACCGAATAAAGGGACTTCCCAGAAGGAAAGTAGATATGATTATTTGGGTGTTTTGTGTCACACCCAGCATGCTTCTCGAACTCATAAGCATTCACTGCCTGCACCCACAAAAACATCAATATATATAATGTTCAATTCGGCCTATTTTGGCTTACAATTTACTCATTCTGTCACATTTTATCTGTATTACTTACTATTCATTACTACCAAAAGTCATAAAACAAACAAATTAAATACATAGGTATAAAACCAAGCTAGAGATAGTATATATAGATGAAAGAATGAAATTATTAATGTACCTTGTTCATTTTGCAGCGTTCACATGAGCAGAGGTAATTGGTCCCTTTTATGATTCCTTTAAGACTATTCTGCAAATCCAAATATATGTATGTATATGTGGCATGCCAACCTTAATTAACTTAATTGTTCAGTATATATTATTATTATTAGAAAAACAAAAACAAAAAAGAAAGGCTAGTTAGCTTACCCCTCTGGACCAGGAAACATACTTCACAGGAATGCCTTCGAAGATGCCAGTGGATAGCAAGTTCTTAACATTTGTAGGGAAAGAATACACAGACATCTTAGGATGAGAATACGGCCTGCTCCTCTTTCGTTTGTTTTTTCTGGGAACATTATTATTAATGTTGTCGTTGTCTGTAACACCCAAACCTCCACCACCAGATAGTTGCACTAGAAAGTTGTTGGGAGAAGCCACAATGGCTTCCTTGCCTTTCCCAGTAGAGCCCAAGGATAAAACGCAAGAATTTTCTTGTCCTTTGTTATAATAGGGAAGAATTGCAGATTGAGGAGTGAGATTTATTTCCTTTGCCACTAATTTGTGATGGGGACCAAAGGTTTCATGGGCGAGGGTATAAATGTACTGTCGTTGGAAATGTATGATCGGAGTTACTTTGGCGGCAGCTCCAGGGTTTAGAAAAGCATGATGATCTTTGGTCGAATACAGAGAGAGATTAGTAAGTGATGAGTAGGAGGGATGATTAAACAAACAGCTCACACAATCCCTTCTTCCGACCCTCAAATGTTGTTGTTGTTCATCGCTTGGAGGCCGCAACATTAAGGCATTTTTGTCGCAAATCTTGCGAGGCTGCTGGGGATGATGATCATCACCGGATTGTAGTATTGCTGATTGCTTCTGAATTGAATGATCAACAAATATAATACTTGAGATATATACATGTGTAATAAGGTTCATGTATATATGCATTATATATGCAGTAGCAGACAATTAATGCAAACTAACATAGAAACACACATACATTATTAATTACTACTTTTCTATCTCCATCTACTTGAGTTTTTTTTTTTTTTTTTTTTTTAATTACTCAGGTTACCGGCTTTCAGACTATATCCTCATCCCATGAACCCACTACGCCATTAGGCTCACAAGAAAGTAAATCGAGCTAATATAATTTCCAAACTCAACACTAAACTGTACACTCTTATGCACAAGAAACTTAACCCAAACCCCATTGTTATAAGTACTTAAGGGCCCTCACGTCTCCTACTCTGAAGACTTGTGTGAGGAGGTGAGTTTTTGCACTGATCCTAGCGTCCCACACCTTGCGAAATTTGACCCTGGTACTGGTTGGATATTACCTCAAAGACCCCATTGTTCATGATAGGAATCGAACATCCACCCTATAGTTGAAAGCAAGTGTTTCTCATTCACTACATTAATGCCATGGGGCCTCGAGTCTCTTGGGGTTGGGAGGAGGGGAGGGGGTGGGGCATGAGGGGTCTCATAATATCATATTATATGAAATCAGATAAAATCCAAATCATAGCAAATATGGAAAAACCTTTTTATTGAAGAATTGATGATCTGTGGCTCATAATGGTGAATAAATTAATTAACTTTACTGGTTTTAGTTTCTTTGACCCTACCGAACAACAGATTATTGACAACCAAGTATTACAGGTGAAAACACATAATAATGTATATATAACTGTGTATGAGTATTAAAAATAAGAACAAGATTTTGTGTGTGTGGATCTCTGGATCATAGTGGCACCTCCATCTACCATATTTGACTGTCATTTTGTTTTGTATTTTTATTTTTTTTTGTTTTTTTAAATCACATTTAGTGCTAGACTTTTAAAATCATTAAATGTTAAATATTCCATATGAATTACCATGAAAAGATTTTCAAAGGTGGAACGCTAAAGGTGTAAATTGATAAGTGAGAGTAATGAATAAAAATGTCACATTATTGAGTGACAAAAAGGTGAAAATTTGATAACACATACAGAATTTTGAGTGAAATAATTAATTTTTAGAAGAACAAAGAACACATTAGATATTCCACACGAAGAGCTATCAAGAAATGTGGAACGCTAAACATGTAATTAAATTGATAGTCAAGAATTACAAATAGAAATGTCAATGACAAAAAGTGCAAATTTGGTATTTCATGCAAAATTTTGAGTAAAATAATTAATGTTTAGAATAAACAAAGAATATATTAAATATTTCACATGAAGAATCATCGAGAAGATTTTCATATAATTGCTATTAAGAAATTATCTTTTTATAGATCAACCAAATCACAAAGTAATGGTGACTAATTTAACTTTTCTAGTTTATTCACAGCACATCAATTTTAAAAATAACAAAAAAAATAAAAGAAAAAAAAAGAAAAAAAAAAAAAGCAAAAACAATCTTAATATGAGAGAGAAAAAAAAAATTGGGGAACAATTTCATATGGTCTGACATAAGAATAACTTCCTTAGCTATCAGATGAGTAGATTGATTCACAAATCATTTAGCAACTAAAAACTAATATTAAAATAAATTAAAATTTTTTAAAAAAAAAACTATAAGCGTTTTTCTTTTTATAAGCTTTTTTCTTAATGTTGTCAACTAGGAGACCAACCGTTTTAGTTTCTTTGTTCCTATAGAACAACAGATTAGTGACAAACAAGTATTACATGTTTATATATATATATATATATATATATATATATATAAAATCATCAATCCAATCAAACCACATTTCATACATTCGACCAAATCGAGCCTTCATTTTATAAAAATAAATAAACAAAGAACCAAAAAAAAAAAAAAGAAAAAAAAAATCAAAGAGGAGCATTTACTCCTTTCAAAAAAAAGATGAGCATTTACACTCACTCACACACACACACACACACACACACACACACACACACACACACACACACACATATATATATATATATATATATATATATACAAAATTTCAAACAACTAGAGTTAGTCAATAGTCAGCTTACCATTTTTTGCAGAATTCACTTGTTAACTGTCTTGATCAACGACGGTGAAACAGTTGGTTAAAAAATAGGCAGCAAAAAAACCCTGAAATAAAAAAATAAATTTGTGAATAAAATAATAATGCATGAAAGAAATGTAACCAAAAAGAAAAGTTAAAAATCTACTAAAATGAGTTTGAACTGATTTATAGAAAAGAAAAAAAAAACTATTTTCCAGTAAAAATTTTAGTGGATTTATTTATAGAATGGAAATGTTTGAAGAGGTTTTATCATGGTCGGGAACTCGCCGTAAAGAGGTCGCCGGGGAGGAGCTCCAGCCGGTGATCAGGAAGCCGCGACACCCGGAGTTCGTGAACTGTGCTGGGAGAAGAAACACAAAGGAGAGGGGTATTTATGTGCGCTGATGGATCCCCTGCGACGCAGCGCACGCTACTCACGTGCTTCGCACGCACAATAGCTTAGGCGTGGGAGATTTAGATAATCGTGGACCATCATAAATGATTACGCGGGGCCCACTTGCATCGTCCAATCCTGGCCTTTCATTTTGTAACGTTCTGTGCGGTGACAGGTATCCGATGGCGTGAAAGTCATCCTGATTTCAGAGCTAGATATTCCTCATGCCCCGCTGCAATCCTGGTGGTTAAAAATGTACATGTTTGGATAAATCAAATAATATATATTTAATTTTATAATTTGAAAATTTATTTTTAATCTTATTTTTTTTTAGTATTTTTGACTCTGTTAGATTGTAGTATCTGTTCATACATAATTTCTCAGCCTACTAAAGTACAAAGAGTCGATCCCCCACTAATTCAAACCAATGACCTCCTATTTGAAAAAAATACAGCTATGCTGCTTGACCGTCTTTGACTTTTTAATCCCTTTTAGAGACCACGGCTTTTAAACAATGTTCAACTTTCGCTCTCTTACTATAGTAAAATAACTATCTAAAAACTTACTAATATATCTTGTTACTTCTCATTTCAAAATGTAGTACTTTTACTTACGATATTGTAGCATTTTTCTAATAAATTATGCATTAATTTAAGTACCCCTTCCGTCATATTTTATGTACCTAATTCGAGTTGTCAAGGTTTAACTCAAGTTCTTTATATTTATATTTTTTATTTTTTGGTAAAATTTAGTTTGGTATGAGTTGTATATAATTTATGTATTTAAAAAGTATATCAAAACTACTACGTAGTATTAAATTAAACACTAAAGAATTTAAATTTAATTTTTTTTTTTTAAAAAAACTTTAAAGAAAATAAGAAGAAAACAAATTAATTGTCCGGTGAATAGTAAACATGATAAGTAAAATGAGACAAAAAGAATATTATCTTTCAATTTATCATTCAATTTTTTTTTTTCAAAAAAAATTAAATAAGATTTTAGCTTAACATTAAAAAATAAAAATAAAATTAAATAAATAACTGAGTTTTTATTTTAATTTTAAATGTAGAAATTACATCAAAAGAACTATTAAATGAAAAAATATTCTAATTTAAAAATTATATAAAAAAAACTTTAAAGAAAATAAGCAAACAAAATAAATTGTTTGACTAATGAATTGTAATTAAGACAGATGAAAGAAGATAGCTTAGATGGAATAACATATATCTTAAAATGTATAATTTAAATTTATTTCTAATTTTTAATAAAAATTGGCTTAGCATTAATAAATAAATAAAAAGGTTTTTATTTTAATTTCTAACGGCTTAAATAACGTTAGGATGAAATTAAATGGCCAAGTTAGTGTGATCTTGTAATTAGATTATGGTTCTAATTACAAGTGGACCTCTCTAAGGCTTTTATATTATCCATTAAATCCATAATATTTCAAAAATAATACTTTAGCACCCAACAATGCAATTCTTGAATGCTACTGCCTCTATTACAATGTAGTATCTGTTCATACCTACAATGCAATTCTAATGTCAAATAATTGTTATTTTTGTTTGAAAATTGTCACTTTCAAAGTTTTAATCAATCAATTATGATCATATATATATATATATATATATATATATATATATATATATATATATAATATTTAGTCATTTAACTATTTTATATACAAATTTATTTCTTCCATTTTTAGCTAATCTAGTGATGAATTTAATCGTTGATATTAGGGTTTCAAATGAAACCCTAAGAATTAAATTAAATTATCACTTCCCTAAAAAATTGGAAACTAAATCTAGACTTTGAGTGCCTATGCATGGAAGTAATTGGGGAGGGAGGTAGTTCCAATAAGTGTTGAAAAAGTACCGGCTAGCATATCACCATAATCGGTGGTCTAGGCGGCGGCCGACTAGGCCTCCTAGGCACAGACTAGGCAGCCTAGTCGGTCGATTAGCTATTGTTCTTTTTAAAAAATGGATTATTTCACTCAAAATAACATCGTTTTGATGAGCAAAATAACTTTAAATTGTTAGATGTTTTTAGGTTAATATTTTAGTATTAACTATTATAGTATTAAATAGTTTATAATTACTAGTCTTTAAAAATTTAAAAATTTCAAGCATATCTTTAAAATTAAAAAAAAATACACGGGTTCCTAAGCGTCGATTAATCGTTGCCTAGGTGCTCCCGAGCGCCCAAGGAGCGCTTACTCGATCGCTTAGCGATTTTTTCAACTATGGTTCCAATTAGAACAATTTTAATATTAAAGTATTTAAAATTAATTAATTCATTAATTTAAAAGTTTAAACTAAGTGTACAAACCATTTAAATTATATAAATTTGGTCTAAATTAAAATATTTAAATTTTATTAATTATATATAAGTAGAATCAATCATATCAATTAAACTTATTTAATATTAACAGTAGGAGTAATGAAATGGATAGCATATGGACCAACTTTTATATAATTTCAAATATTTATAAATGTATAATATTTATTTAAAACTTATGCTAATTAAACTCAATTTATATATAAATTAAAAATAATTAGACTCAATTCATATATCAATAAATTAATTAATTATATCTTTTTAAACAATTAAATCCTCAATATTGCAATATTATACTACTACGTTAAAATTCAATTCAATGATGAATGGAAGTTTGTATTGTTAATTTGCCTAATGTGTGTTCAAGAATGCATCCTAATTGCTAATTTGGGAGATCAGAAGAGGCCAAGGTTTGAACCTCGACAGCGGACATATGTTTGAACCTCGACAGCGGACATATCTCTTATGTGTACAGATATTTGATCTTATCGATTGAGTCATTGAATCATCGTGATTTATATCATCTTAAATGTTCTGACAGGCTGAAATGTGGGACCCTATGGGAGAAAAGTATGCCCCTTGTTAGTAACATATGTTGTCCTTAACCATTGCTGATTATAGTTCCAATCGGGGTGTGGGGCCTGTCGGCTGAGCTAGTCATGAATTATAGTCCCAACCGCCTAATAAACATTGCTGATTTCTCCTCTTGGAATTAAAAGCATCCATTTTTTCTTCCTGATTTTCGCCTCATTAAGTTTAGAATTTTCGCGAAGATATAAATCTTATCTATTTATTCAAAAGGCAATTTCATTCATGTAATCTCTATTTATTTCTAATTTATTTTTGTATTTAGCTTTTCAAAAAAGTACCTTAATCCAGGGTTAATAAATGTAATCTCCTTTTTAAAAATATATTGTATAATTCATCTGCTACTTAAAAGTTAGTAAAAGTTGTAAAAGGGGTGTTTGATAAATAGATGTTAGCTGATTGAGTTAGCGGGTTTGATTAGTTGATAGCATTAGCTGATTGTAAAAAAAAATTATTTGATAAATTAACTGTTAGCTGATAACTGATTAAATGTAAAATGGTTTTCTTAAAAAATTGATCGAAAAAGCTGCTTTGAGCAGCTTTTTGAATTTTAGTATCTTGGAGCAATAACCTATTACAAAAAGCTAATTAATCAAACACTCATATTGATTGTTTAACCAAGTCAAATAGTTAATAGTGGTTAAATAAGTCAAAATGAGCTAATAAGCTAACTATGTTACCAAAATAATGCCAAAATCAAAATAAAAGCAAACTACTCTATATTTTAAACTAAGCAAAGTTAATAATTCTCAGAGACTCAACTAACCTTATTCACTCTAATTATTATTATTATTATTTTAAATGGTTATGTCATTAATAAATTTCCTTAGTTTAGGGTGGTTTGAATAAAACGGTACAATTAATAGGAAAATATGCAAATTAATTAATTAAGTTTTTGGGAGTTGTTAGCTGTGTGTCCAACGTATGCAATTCTGATCTGTCCTTGATAAAACATGAATGGAATGAAGTGTTTCAAACGACAATTACAATCCACTTGTGCATGTTGTTATATCATTCATAGCTATTACGAGGAGCATTCAAAAAAAATAAAAAGCTATTACGAGGATTCTCGAAAATACAATTCTTTCTTCAACGACTTTTTTTTTTTTTACTAGTAAAATAAAAAACTTCCTCACGTGTAATCATATGAAGGCAAGGAAATGTTGACAAAGGTGGGGCATTGGATGCATGCTGTCTTTCTGCAGGGAGTATAATTTAAGATATAATTTTTGGTTTACTCTAGAATTGTCTCTTTTTTTATTTATTTATTTATTTTAATATATATATATATATATATATATATATATATATTAAGTTAACCTCCAACGTTAATAGTAGGAATTGGATCACTACGTACTCTGTCTTTAGAAACAAGTTAATTTAAAGGACGCTTCTCATTCACTAAACATGCATTGAGAATATTTCTTTTTTTATCATTAATCTCTATATATAATTATATATAGAATAAAATAATAATCAAATGAGACCACTTTTTTTCGTGAATCTCGTGAAATACTTAATAAATGCACACAAGTTAATACACAGACTAGATTGTTTGATATTCGCTCAGCATGAATGCACACAAGCTACACTGTGTGCATTCGTATAGTAGCAAGTGTGCATTTACGAACGGTCTCATTGTTGTGGAAGAATTACATGGAAGAACGAATCGGTAAAAAATTTATGACTGCACCAGCTACAAGAAAAGACCTCATGATAGTCAATATGGGTCCTCACCACCCATCAATGCATGGTGTTCTTC